ACACAAGTGGAACACCCATTCTAAAATGTGTATCCTTGTGGAGACATTTCTTTGTTCTCGTGTAGTAAAGTGTTCAATTTTGAAAGTGAAGTTTCAAAATGCTCTTATGTTAACCAGAATTAGTTTCCTTGGCTGAAATTTGGACTTGATATCCCTTTTCTAAAACTCTTCCATTTGCGACGGATCAACCCACCTTGGAAATTCCTAGTTTTTGAGTAAAACCCATATATCTATTTCGTGAAAACCTTGTGGAGACCTATTCATCTATAGAAATTGCCCTGTGGAGACCTTTACAATGTTTTGTTCCCTATTGTGTGTGTGTCTCCACTAGGATACGAATTTGTGGTCACCGTAACCATTGGACCACAACACCCCACTGTTATACAGCATCAGTCCCGTGAATCAATATTTTGCTAGGGTATTGCAATGCATAAAACGTTTGGGTGGAATCCGGAATCCGATTTCTATTTTGCCTGACATTATTCGGGGTCAAAATGTACACTTTTCCTGGCCAAAATGACACGTTTGCCAAATCGTGTGCCCGGCAGAAGGACAAAATGTGCATATGCCCTTATGCAATGTAGCGTAATGACCAAAATGTTCCCAGCAAAAGGGCATATGCAGAAAACTGCCTCCATTTTAATGAAATTTTAACATTTTCGTCAGAAATTAATACAAGTTGTTCCTAAACCTATGATTCATACGTTTGACAAATTTCAAATTCGTACGATTTATATTACGCGTGGGAGAACATTAAATACATAATGCGCGCGAGGGAACAATGAAACCTTTCAATGCAATTTTCTTGAAAATGATTTTTGCGTCAGAACGCTCATATGCCCTTCTGCCGGGCACCCGACGCAATGTTCTCGATTCAAAATGATCCAGTGAAGTGTCATTTTTTTTACCCGGAGAATGTCAATATTGACCCTGAAAATTGTTAGACCAAATAAAAGCCGGTTTTCCAGTCAACCTGGCCATGATGATGCATAGGCCTATCTGTGAGTTGAGTGCTGGGAATGATTAATTCACGGAAGGTGTTTCTGTAAGTATCGACTCGGAAAGTACATACTCGCCTCTTTTCAATCATCTCTTCTGATGCTCAAACTTCCAGCATCCTCAAACCAAACCTGAAGGAGATATTGTTTCTTCCGAGTTCCTTCAGAGGACACTTGAAATCCTCCCCTTCCGTCGAGGATGCCAGATCTTTTGATTAGAAACCACCCGGGCGTTTCGGTTAAAGTGTTGACATCAAGCTGGGTATGATGGATGAGGTCTCTATCAAGAGCCAAGAGCGCAATTCTGGGTGAAAGATTACGGACAATTTCGCGCACCGTAGACGGTGTGAATTGTGTCGGTATGTTTGGCCTCTTCACACACTATCGTCGTCTTGTGATCGCCGTGTCGCGCGTTTTGATTAACAAGCAGACTGGTGATTGAAACGACGAAATTTGTGATGGTCTTTTGGAATAGGTCGCTAGAGTTGAGGCGCAAAAGGCGTGATAGAAATGCCTTTACCCTGACACAAACTTACAAATACACCATATCAGATCGCTCTGAAACATAATCTGCGTTGTCGTTTTCTTTTTAATCCCAGTGTGATCCGTATCTGGTTAATCTAAAGCAAGATTAAACAGTCACCCAATGAAAAAAAATAGCATTCTTTGACGTGTTTTGATATGGTTTAATAAACTGAAATGAAATAAGATACAAGTTTAATTGTTTCATTTATAATCGGAAATATATACATATATTTGTTACAAACAATTTAATATATCTAAAGTTGCAGTTCAATTTATTTAGATAAGTAATATGTTCATTAAGTAGAATTGCAATAAGTTAAATTTAAAATAAATCCAATAAATATATCTTAAGAATTCTGTATTTACATGAATATATTATTTACAAAATTCGACATCCTGGAAAACATTTACATTTATTGATTGTTAAAGAGAGTGTAAACTTTAAACGAATTTAGGCCACTAAACATCACTTTAGTAACGATGATAAAAACAGAGAAAAATAGACTCAACTTGTATTAATTTAAAGTTCTGTACAGTTGTAAGATTTCCCTCTCTAAAGGGCGCGTCTTACCCCTCTCAAGCCCCTTCGCACGACACCTTCTTTATGTGCTCATAGAGTTATAGTGTTTTTGACCGTCCAGCATAAAACCAGTCGGTAGTCGAACGGCCATAATTTCAGAGTATAATGCACTGTACATATGAAAAACTGAATTATCGAAATTCAGGTTTAGGCGGTAAAGGCTAAATAAATTTTCTCGATTGTTCAAACTTTCCGAGGCGCGATAATAGGGAACTGATACAATCCAATAAACTCCGTCCGGTTTTGTCCGACTTGCTGTATTCGGATTGGAGAGTTTATTCAATGTCCTTTCCAATGAGCCCTAAATCCCAGTTTTCAAAAATGTATCCGAGTGACTAGTTTGCGCAGAAAGGGTCATATTTTTGTCCAACTAAGAATGAAACTCGCGCATGAAGCACTGCCCTCATTATACTGACGTGGGTAAGCGCTCATTAACCCATAGGGGTGCAGACCAGTAAATCGGTCCGAAATTGCCTACGCCGGCCAAATCACGATTTGCATGCCCTCAAAATCTTCGGTATTTGAGCATGCTGTGGGCTGTGAACTTGAGGGTTTGTAAAAAATATGGGTGGAAGCCGTGTACAGGACTGGGAACTTGCAGTTCTGTGTAATTTGGATGTAATTTGGACCCTAAAAGCGCTCTATTTTGCAATGGAGTGTAGGCATCGTTTTTCAAAATGGCGATGGGCTTCAGAACTATTTTCAGGGGTGATCATCTTCAGATAGAAATTTCTCCTAAAAGTCATCAGTTGACCCCCCAAAAATTGAAAAGAAAATGAAAGATGATGAAATAAGCTTTAATTTGATGTGTGTCTCAAACACCTTGGAGAGTTGTGAGTATTTTTCCCGAATTTCTGAAGTGGGAGCATTTACCATTGGGGTCTATGGAAGTTTATTTACTGGTCTGCTACCATAGGCCTGAGGTTTCTGGGCGGCCATTTATGGTTCATCCGTAGTTTTACTCATGCCAGACGCGTGGCGTCGGTCACGGCAGCCTTACCGCCTATCCACGTCAGTAATAGAGATTAGTGATATAAATTGGTACTGCCAATCAACATGGCGATGGTCGCGGATTGCATACGTACACGATGACGTTATATACCATACACAAATTCCAACAATTCCAACACAATTCAATATCGGTGTGAAAATTACCGTATAAGAAAAAGCAATAAAATTTACTATTGGTAAAGACAACGGTGTCAATTGTGAATGCAGTATCTTCACTGGTATTCTGTGCTTGGTAATCCACGAAACTTTATTAGATCGAAGCTCACTGCACCTGTACCTTTTTTAATTAATCGTTTGCTGCAGTAACCAATGGGCCAGGGGTTTCTTCGTTTATTTTCTTGTGTGTTAGATAACTTTTGATAACTTCCTTTCGTTTATTTTGTTTTCAATACACAAAGATCCGTCTTATATAAATACACGCTATGCAATTTAAGTTGTTTAACCTGTTTTTCTATCATTTCAGAAAAAAACACAGGCTTGGTCAATAAGGCAAACTTTAAGTGAAAACTATAGACAAAGATATTTGTTTGTACCGGCCAATTGTAATGTTCCTCGATTCATTCAAGAAGGAATCATATTCAGTGGCGTAACCATGGCCGACCCCCCCCCCCCCCCCCCCCTCGGCGCTCAAGAAGACCCCTCACCCTCCTGATGTCCCCACATTGAAAAATTGCCTGGTTTAATTTTACCCCAAAAAGGGTGAAAACTGCAACTACCCATTATTGGGTTGTTTTATAACCAATTGTTTGGGTTAGAATTTCTGATAAATTCAACCAAACGTTGTAGTCATACAAGCCCAAATTTAATTTTGGTATCCCATTTTACGCAACTGTGTTTTTCTTTTTTGGGGGGGGGGGAATGATATCCAGCAGTTCTTCCGAAAGGCATACATTGGTCTTTGAAATTTTACTTACGATGCATTTTGTTAATCGAGCAATGATTACATTCGCAATTTAGGTTAGATAAATTAGCGGCGTCTACCTTTTTGTGGTGTAGTGGTTTTTATTTTCTCTGGTTTAGAGGAAGTGACCTGCACAATTTCAGCGCAAACATCTCTGCATGTTTACGGTTCGTTAGGCGAGCTCGCGTGCCGGAACCGCACTTCCTGATGAAATGAAATTAAAACTAAAAGGGGCAGTTATGAATCAACCAAACGCACCGTAAATTATGTCATCAAAACGACCTTGACTTCTTTTTGCCCACAATTAGAAATTTAGATAGACCCCCCTCCCTCCCAACCTCGCTTTGTATTGACGTATATATAAACGATTTTCGCTGACGAGTTATTTGTCACTAGCTTACGCAAAATCACTTCGTATATCGACGGGTTTTGAAGCTTTACTCGACTGCCTCGAATTCCTGCCGCATAAACATTTACTTAATTTTAAAGCAGTCGCATTTTTTTCACGGCTCTTTCGCGCTGCAGTTTTTTTTTCTTCAGAAAGCAGACGAGTTTCGATTTTTTGGTTTATCACTGTATTTGCAAAAGTATAGTATACCATTGAAGAGTGGTTGTTGTCTGACGTTGAGGGCGTAACTTGACAATTAAAAAATGATTATTGATATTGCGGATTGCCAAAACCTGTGCGGTGTGTATTGAATAAAGCTTGGTAAATGTTTTTCTTTTAGCCTTAGCTGTGCGAGCAAATCAAGACAGAAATGGTGCTAAATATAAAACTGGATTAATTGCGACAAAGCTGGCAGACGAAAAGACAAAATTTCGGCGAAAATTCTTTTAAAAATCGGAATGAAATAGATTATATTTTTGTAATAAGTTGAAATCAAAAGTTGAAAGACGATACGGTTTGATATCGCGAAGCAAGCATCGTGTTACACTTTTGTTGACAAGACCGATTCTTCCTATACCAATTGGAACGCTGACGAGCGTCTAAATGTAATAAATGATTTGTTATGCAGCCGACACACCCAGTCGTGTGGGGTTTTTTTTACTATGCTTACGAGGACCCTTATTGTTCCCCTCCTTTGTTCCTATGGTTTGGACTTTAACTTTTTCTCTACTTCTCCCGTAAGGTTTGTACACAAAAAAACTTCCGAGGACTTAGGCACAGGTCCTCGGGGTTATTGTTATCGAAAGTAACCCATTGTCCGCTGTCCTCGAAAGGATAACAACATCTTACTTAAGTCTGGTATAAAAGTTCACTTGGTAAGGCATGTGCACTATATAGAGCGTGGTGAGGTAGAATACTACCTACAAAATAGGGATTGTTTTATCTTACAGACATCTTGAAGTCATTTGGCGTAGAAAAAATATATACACTAACCACAATACACTCATTATTATACATCCCGATGAAACACAGTTGACAGTTTAGTCTGAGTAAAATAAATAGTTTCTCGTCCGGCTTTTTTTCAAAATACTGAAGGAGCAGGGCTCTTTTTTTCCCTCAAGATGGCGGATTTTCCAAGATAGCGGATGGATTCTTTAATTTTCTCGACTATTTTTCTGAAACAAACTTGTGTCCAAAGGAGCCGTAACCCTTTCTACATGGCTACATTTTTGTTGGAAACAATAAAAAGACAATATACTGACAAATATGAGCAAATTATATTACAAATGTGTGAATTTCAAACCAACAAACAGAAAAGGAGGTGGCCAGGAAATTCCAGCTCTGTGGAATCCGTAATCTTGGGTCATTCCATGAATTTGGGGCTCAAAAGTGTGACAATGTTGTGACCCTGCTACACCTGACCTGTGTAATTTGCCATTTCAAGTATCATTAAGTAATTGACTTCAAACTAGTTTTGTATTTGTTTGGCAGCTACATCGCTTCACGATATTATTCTTGGATATAAGAAGGCATTGAAGAATGTGTCCTGAACTTACAAAATCTTATATCTGATGTAACAGGGACAAAAAACACATTTGACCCAAATTTATGGACTGACTACTTTCGCAGCTCTTATACTCCAGTGTCCTTTAATAATTATTTGTACATCTTTAATATTTGTACAATTTTCTACATCTTCCGACATTTTCAAGACTTTGTCTGTAGTTGTTGTTCCTTAGACTTTGTCTGCAGCACACGCAGACGACACACTGACATTGTCAGTAACAGTGGACCCGCCCGTGTGGCTCAAACCGACGCGACTGACTGTCGTTGCCTTGGAAACGCCGCTCGGTCTCCGGCGGACCTTTCGAGACTTGCAGCAAACCTACGAGAATGTAAAAACATAAGCTCATGAAAAAAATACAGCCAAAATTCGAATTCGTTTAGTTAAATCACTTGCAGTGCCTTTCAACAAACAATGCGCTCACGTGATCACTGTACACACATGTGGCCCCCTTCAATGGAGAAACCATTGTGCATTCTATTGTACAAAGCAACTGCCCTGTGACGGATTATCTTAACAATAGCTAACACTATAGTGTCGCTACTGAAGGGGCCTTCGTACTATAATTGGCGTGCTGGGTTTGGTCTCTAGAGAGGTAAGACGAGTGACAAGACAAGTTCGCACATAAACGCAAAGGCGCAATTAACGTCGCGGAGTGACGTAAAATTACGTCATTGGGCCTATAGCGCCCTCATGTGGTCAAAGGTACAATGAACAGTTTAATACCGAGGTGCCTACCTTCAAGGCCCAGATACAGCTCTGTCGAAAGCTCGCAGATACCAGGGCGTAGACGATCGGATTGATGGCGCTATTCAGGAAACTCATCAAGTTGAAGACCATATCCGTTATATGCCACCTATTTTCGAAAATGTCCACCAATTCGAATCTCTTGACGATCGTGAAGGACAGGAGTGGCCCCCAGCATATGATGAACATGACGACGATAAGCATTATCATTGTCGTCATCTGTGTATGTGGGGAATTGTATACGAAACAAGTGACTGATAAGTGGGATTCGAACTGGCGACGACCCTCAACCCAACTGAGCGATACCCCTAATTTGATTGTCCAAGAGCTATCAACGTCCTTTTCTTTATTTTTTGACAGGCACTACTCAGAAATCATGTGTTTCAAATTTTGTGTGGACAGCGTTGACACCAAAATGAAAATGGTGGCAATGCCGGTGTGGAAGGAGATTAAGTCCCCACAGGATATTATGTCCCTCAGACTGATTTTCCCGGTTTTGCAAAGGTATTGTGTCCTGGGACCCGACAGTTCCTCCCAAGGAACAGTCCCCCAGCTGCTCCCCTACCCAAGTTTCACCCAAGTTACGCTGATGACCAAAAGTGGGACAACATCACCGCCAAGGTTCAACTGCAATGCGTATGTGCTTGACTAACCTGTCTGATTTCTGCCTCCTTGTTCTTGGCCGATTTATGATTCAACTTCTGCGTACCATTGGCCACGTACACGGAGCCAGACATGGATCCGTTGCGAGCACTGCCTGCCTGGTATTTGCGTGATTGGCTCATGGCCACGGCACCAGACTTGGTGCTCTCGCTTGGTACCCGGCGGGTGCAGAGCGTGTGCATGATGAAGGCATAGGCCCCTGTGATCAAGACCATGGGTACGCCGAATACCAGGAAAAACTGGTAGAGAGCGTAGGCCCGATTGCCTGTTTTGGTCCATACCAGCTGGCATACGTCAAACGGTCCTTTGTCGTCCACATACGTCCTAGTACCCTGACCCAAAAAAAATAAAACGGGGAATTATTAAGGTTTAGTTTTTGCCCAGGTAAGGGACGAAATAGAGTACCGGAGTTTTCCTCGTGAACTAGCGCATGAACCACAGTCGAGACGAGTCGCGTGAACTCGAGTTGAGTGGAATCATTTGCTCGCAGTGACTCGGGTCGAGTCGAATCATTACTCCTTAGCGAGTCGAGTTACCAAAAATTTGGACTCGAGTCGGACTCGAGTCGAGTCATTGACTCGCGTCATTATAAGAGACCTTATTCACGAGGAAGCCATTTTCGATCGTGTTCCCTGAATTTATTTGATTAATTGTAAGCTGCTGAATGGGGTGGTGCCAGACTATTTTATGGTTAGAGTGCGAGCCTCACTTACAATTTTTTTTATTATTATGGCTTAACACATTGGGTTGTGTTTAATCACAGCAGACTAGTTTTAATTTGAAATAAACTTTTATTGTATTGCTTTCACTTCAAAAATTAAGAGTTGACCTCGCTTTCAATTTAATATGGCCGAATCGTTAATAAAGTCTATTGGAAAAAATCGACCAGCTCTGTAAATACGATTTTCTCAAAACTCACCACCTGGAAGAAACTTGGTATGCTTGAGAGTACCGCTGCAATCCAGACGAACGTCACAATCTTGTAGGCGTTTCCCACAGTTAACACGGTACGGGACCTCAACGGGAACTTGACCGCATAACAGCTGGGGTGGACGCATGAAATATAAAAAAAATGCGATCAATGATTTCCTGAGAGGATCTAAGAATGGCAAACTGTTGAAAATCCAGACTCTAAAACGTCCACGTTAAAAAGTGTCCCAGAATCCAGGTTAATATGACCCTTATATTATGACCCAACACTCTAAAACGTCCCGGTAAAAGTGTCCCAGAATCCGGGTTATTATGACCCGATACTTTAGATTATAATCCAACACTCTAAAACATCCAGGTAAAAGTGTCCCAGAATCCAGATTATTTTGACCCGATACTTTATATTACGACCCGACACTCTAAAACGTCCCGGTAAAAGTGTCAGAGAATCCGGATTATCATGACCCGACCCGACATTCTAAAACGTCCCGGTAAATATGTCCCAGAATCTGGGTTATTTTGAACCGATACTTTATAGAGTCGAAATTACACTTTTCTGGGTCAAAAAGACACTTGTGCTTAGGTGCTGGGTCTTCAGGTCAAATGGACCCATACAATGGTCCACAGAAAAGTATCAGTTCGAATGTGATAATTATTTCGATACTTCAAAAGACACCGTGCACCTCTAACATCCCACTGCCCCTACGGCCAGTAATGGCTATGGGACCTTTACCTTTTTTACTGTTTACGTACCGTTTGTGCGAAACTTGTACTGATCTTACTTGTAAGTATATCTTAAGTTAAAATAGATGTTTCTTTGAGGTGAAATCAATCTTTACCTTGAGTTACTCACCGTTCTAAGCTGATGGCAGTGAGATGCAAAACCGAACTGACTGCGGACAACATGTGCAAATAGGTGGGTGCCCTACACATGAAGTCCCCGTACGGGAAATGCCCGTAGACTAGGGAAATGTTGAGCTTCCACGGTAACACCAAACACAGCATGATCAAATCGGCCATGCAGAGGCTTGCTATCAGAGTGTACATGACCGTGTGAAGATGGCGACACCTCCAGATCGTATACACGACGATGAGGTTGCCTATGGTACCCAGACTTATGGTTATGGCGTAGATGGCAATAGTCAGGTGCCGCTCCAGGTAATACAGGAACCATGCATACTCTAGATCGTAATCGTCATCGTAGGCTGGTGTCGTACCATTATCTTGGTTTCCCGCAATCAAGTCTGGTACCCCATCGGTCGGATGACCACCCAGTGACGTCATTTCTGTTGTGGGATCCATGGCTGACGTTCTTTGATACTGAGCCTCCTGTGTGGAGAACACAATGAAACTGGGCGTTACATATATAGGAAGTTTGGATGAAAAATAGTCTCTATAGAAACACTTGTATAAATTGTGTTCTAGTATGATGTCGAACCAACATCACTTAAGAAAGTTCATCACGTCTCATTGCTTCAGGGCGCCGTGCTTCGCGAGATAACTCATTCAAACAACGGGAAAGAATCAACAGCCTCACATGTAAAAGCGAATCACTTCAGAGGTTTTTCCCTTCAAATTTTGGCCAGCTGTTCTGTATCTGTATCTGTGTCATATAGTCGGCAAAGCAACCCAGGGGAAACATCACACCAACTTAGAGAGAAGACAATGAGAAGAAATTACAGTTTTAGAGGTGGGAGGAAAAGCCCAGAAGATATTCTGGGGAAAACCAACGGAATCAGGCAGGGACTGAAAACCCAATCCACATATTGGCCCAGGCGGGATCGAACCGGGGTTGCAGCGGTGGAAGGCGAGCAAAGTACCGCTACACCAACCTGATTCGTTCACGAACGAATCACCGAGACTAACTGCTAACACTTAAAATTCGTGTCACATTATCGACTGACGTGATGAACTCCATGTATCGACTCTGGTCGACTACTTTAATCCAACAAGCTCGGCGCGCGTCTCACTTGTACGGTGGCCCTGGAACGACATTTTAATATTGACCTTTTTAATATGAACCTTGTAACTTCTTAATATTGACGTTGTACCTTCGCAATATGCACGTTGCACGGAGCTTAATATCGCATTGTGGAAGTTGTTCCTTCTTAATGTGAATGTTCCAACTTGTTAATGTTCACGTTCGAACTTGTCAATGTACACCATTGATCATGCTTGATGTCAACGTTGCACCTTGCTTCTTCGCAATATGAACCATGTACCTAATTCATATTGTGAACGTTTGACCTTGCATCTTGTTAATATCATTGTTGAACCGTCCTCCTTCGCAATGTGAATCATGCATTCTAAAAGTACGAAGTCCTTGTCAAGCCCTATAGTTAAACAACCAGTTATGATGGAGTTTCAATCTGACAGCTGTTTAATGTCACTTAACCTGGGTCTACCTTGTAGTGATTTTTATCATGAATCAAGGCTCTCTGATATATTTCACACCTATTGTTGATCACTATGTGCGCATATTAATTGAAATATTGTAATACAGGGAGTTTCCATAAATATTATGATAGGGTCGCTGTAAGTTGCCGTGCATCTTGGAGTTGCAGCACTGCTGACATGAACTGACACAATGGAAACCGCATGCAAGCGTGAAGTGTACACGCTTGCAGACATTCAGATGTCCACATGAGCCAAGTTATCGCAACTGTAAAGTTCGCTCAAAATCGTATACAAAATAGTGGTTAACTATATAATTATTTCTATCACACAGAGAAAAAAAAGTGTTCATCAAGAACCATTGAGTTTTTAATTTTACATATAAACTTTACTGATCGAGACCTATACTGTAGTCTTTGCCCGAGGCTGGATGCTGTATTTTATTCTGTATTGACAAGGTAATGCGTGCGCGGAGTATATGCCTGAAATCTCCTGGGTAGCGCTGCCAAAGTTCTTAAGACAACATAACTGTTGACAGCGTCTTCTGCCGCACGCCATGGCAGCTTCACCGGGCTTGTCAGTGACTGGCTGGGTTCCGTAATAAACTCCTAATCTAGAGGCCAAGACTGCACCTACCGAAGACTATCCGTTGCAGACTCGTCTTTGTCGTCAGTGCGTGATCAAGTGAATTATCACAGATATAAATATATACTCGGCCAGCAACACTCGCTGGTGAATAAAGCTAGACCAAACGACTTGTAACGTAACGACACTAAAGGGAATATATAGATGTATGCGAACGGTGTCAATTATAAGCCTGCATTGATCCTAGGTATTTACTCGGAAATATTTCCGGAAATGTTTTGTCGTTTCGCTTTCGATGTTGGCTTCTTCCTCGAATCCTGACCAATTACAGATGAGGACGTGTAACCAATATGATGTGGTTGAATAACATGATGGGGTTAGACTAGAATTGGAACATTTTCTGGAAAGAAAGGAAATCTATACGGTGTAGATTACATTTCTTTCCAGAAAATGTTGCATGGATGGCTATACATAGAAAAAGAAAACCGGCCAAGATGTAAACCAAAACATACATTTTTGAAATTAAAGATATATTCGTCTCCCGATGGCAAAATATCGGTGTCTATGATTGCTTACTATATACAGGTGACCCAAACAAATGCAACCCTGAAACATTTGTCCCTTTTTTTCAAAAACGTGATCTATGAATTTTTAAGTTTTGGATAAGAGATAAAAGCTGAGAGTTTTTTCTCTTGTATACTGAAAAATTGCGTAGCTGAGAAAATGCAAATTAAGTAACACCACTCCTGGTCCATTTCAATGACATTACCACAGTTAAGAAACATTTATTTTAATATGTCTTTCATTAATTGTGCAATTTCTTTAGTCTTTGGACATATTTATGATGCTGAAAAGGTTTAAAATAGGACTAAAAGGATAAGATACCTGTTCGGGTGGAAAATAAAAGGTATTTCCATCAAATTCATTCGTACTCTTGTCATGTGCCGTGTTGTTTGTAAGGATTAGGACACAATGCGCTACACGTATTTCATGCACAAAATTGGTACAGTGTAATTCCCTTAACTGTGGTAATGCCATTGGAATGGACCATAAAGGAGTTGTGTTACATAATTTGCATTTTCTCAGTAACCCAATTTGCTGTTTTCATGTTTTTCTTTTCAGTATTTAATGAAAGAAAAACCTCTAAGCTTTAATCTGATATCCAAAACATAACAATTTATAATTCATGTTCAGGCTAATGAGCGCTGTTTCACTAGAAAAGATGTGTTCAATTCATGAGACTAATTAATTTCTTGACGGTATACTCTCCGTCAATTACAACAATGCAAAACGGTGTTCTGTGATCACGTTAAGAAGGGTTTTATCATAATACTTTACATCCTTCAAGCCCTATTCAGATTTTTTGTGTGTTTTTAATCATAGTTACGAGAGATTTCCGATGGTGTACATTGACAAGATCGAACGTGAATATTAATAAGTTGGAACATTCACATTAAGAAGGAACAACTTCCACAATGCGATATTAAGCTACGTGCAACGTGCATATTGCCAAGGTACAACGTCAATATTAAGAGGTTTATACAAGGTTCACATTACAAAAGTAAATATTAAAATGTCGTTCCAGGGCCACCGTACACTTGCTCTTGGTCGTCTTTTTGCTCTTGGTATACCACGTGGAATGTCGGCTGATTTACCGAAGAGAAGTAAATACGAGATATAATGCGTTTTAATAAATTAAAGTAATTAAGAAGTTCTCATCAGTGCTTGAAATGAGTTCTCGGCCTGGATTATTTTTGCCGCCTCGCGGTTGACTGATCAGTTGGGATTGACCACAAAAAACAAGTCTGGTCTGGATATGGTCCGAGTAAGGTCTCGTAAATACAAGAAGCTTTCATCGATGCTCCGAGGGCTTGACTCGTATCGGGGTATCAAAACAAACCGATTACACCCTTAAGGGGAACTGGCCAGGTTGGATTAATTCGACTGCACGGAACATTGGCCATGACTTATGATATTGGGACTGACCGCCCCACCTCACTCCGTATATTGGTCAATTAATCCCAACGCTGTCGTAAACAGGTCGTTACTTATCACACCGCAATATCCGATCAAGGCGTCCTGACTGAAAGGTCATTCGGGTCGGTGAAATAAATTTTCAAGTTTCCATTTCTCACAAACTCATCCCAGTAAGAGAAAACTAGCTGCTTGTTATCAGGTGTATGTAAAATCATCGTGTACTACGCAAAAAAAAGAGAGAGAGAAAAAAATCCCTTTTTTAAGCCTATAACACAACTGGACAAGGAGAAAAGAAAATTGCATATCCCTCCTTTAAAATAAAACCTATGCGACTGATGAAACTCGACACCTCGTTTTAACTGTCCGGTGTCACGGTCTCACTTCTCCGGCGTGCTGGATTTTCCGGGTGAATGCGGCGGATAATTGAGCACGTTACAGAGCACGTTACATGAGCACGATACATGCTCATGTGTCCGCTGTGCTTACTTTTCCTCGAGCGGTGCTATCATAGCTCCATGAGTCTACCAAGTCCACCCAAGAATGTGTTATGTGACACTTCCTGTGGGTCAAGCTTAGAGAGGACTGGAGTATTTTGCCTGGGTCATTCCATGGTCTTGCAACAGCGTGGGTGTGTACGTGTGTGTATGGAAGAATAATTAAGAACGAACTCCTTGGTCTGTGCATGGCTCCTTGGTCTGTAAAAGGTCTGTGTTCCTTGCTCGTTCGTGGCTGTCTTTATTTTTGCAACCATGTGTATCCTTCACATCTTTACATGTACAGTGTATTGGGAGTTCCGCGCGCCACGAAAATTCTGGATTCGACTGGTACCTTGTAACGTATACATTTGTACATACAAATATCCAAAGATCTCATGTGCACCCGTACAACCCCAAAGGACTCAGCACACAATAAAGTTGGCGAAAGGTACACTACTGCGCAACTTGCGCATGCGTGTTTAGGCGAAATTTCCCTCTGCGGAGAAGCTAGCACGCCGGAGAAGTGAGACCGTGACACCGGCATGTTTTTTAATAAAGCGCCAATCGTGATTGAATGACGACTGTTTCCTGTCAATTAGAAGTAAGAAGAATTCCGACGCTTTGAACTTTGATTTGCCCTTCCAATCGGCATTCCTTTAACGTCCCCTTGTAAATTACACCTCTCGAGGGTGATGCCAACTCATTTGTGTCTTGAGTGAGTCTCTGGGCTATCTTGGAAAGCACTTAGTATACCAATTCATCTCCACACTGCCTGTTGACTCGCAAAGACATCGCGAGGGCAATAATTGTTTCCATAAAATTCCCCAAGGTACACAAGTCCACAACTGCCTGAAACTGAGCCGCGGAAATACTAGTCCAGCCCGCTCCCTTGCATGT